AAGGGGGGGAAGGGGGGGGGGAGGAGAACGGCAAATGGAGACGCGGGCTGCGGAGTCCCCTTCATGTCGGCGGGGGCCCCCTTCACCCCCGGCCCCGCTCCCTTACCCCCGGGGTGAGGGGGGATGTTGCGTTGTTTTGTGCTTATGTGTGTGTTGTTTGAGTGACTCGCCACCCCGCCACGAGGCTTTATCCCCTTCCTTCCCCCCTCCCACACACACATACATACACACATACACGCACATACACACACACTTCTACCTTTCCCCTGCCATCCCCCACCCTCTGCCCCATCCCCCAGGCGGGTGACTCCTTCCCCATCACCATTCGTTTCAAGCCCACTCCCGTACTGCTGACTGCTTGCCGGCGTCATCTGGTGGAGCCGGAGGAGGATCAGGTGGGGCCGGGGGGGGAAAGGGGGGGGGGAAATGACGTGTGTGTGTGTGTGCGTGTGTGTTTTGACGAGGTGTGGCGTGGAAAGGAAGTGGCGAAGAGGATGATAATGGCACACGGGCAACGACTGCATCATCGAAAGGAAGGAGTCGCACACTGCGAGCGCACTGCGGGTAGAAGTTGCCCTACTTGCTGAAACCCTAGACACTACCCGTACCCTGAGCTCTCACCCTTGTGTATTTCCACACACACCCCCCCGGGGCACGAAAACCCCTGCTCCGTATTTGCCCACAAGCCCCAATAGCCACCATCCCCAACCCCACCCTTTCTGTACCTCTCCTTTACCCTTTTTCACCTCTTCCCCTCCCCGCCCCCATTTTGCCCCCCGGCACCACTCTTGACCCCCGTGCGTTTGTCTGTATGTGTGTGTGATTGTGTGTGTGTGCGTGTGTGTATGTGTGGGGTTGTGAAACAGATTTTGGAGATCCCCATGCGCCTCTCCGTACCGGACCAAACACTGCCAGTCCCCTTCAGCATCCGCGCCCAGCTCACCCACACCGACCTCGTCTTCGATCCGCCCTCCTTGGATTTTGGATCCTGCGTCATGGCCGAGCGTACGGCACTTCGCCTCGCCATCACAAACCCCGGCCGCCTGCCGCAAACCTTTGGCTTTGTGGGCCTCCCGTCTGGCCTGCGCGTCTGCCCCAATGGCGGGTTTGGGCACGTTTTACCCGGGGAAACGCTGGAGCGGTTGGTGTCGTACCAACCACCCATCGTGGGCCCCCAGAGTTTTACGATTACTGCTCGAACATTGGCGGGTCGAACGTTTCGATTGCCCTGTGTGGCTGTGGGTGTGAGTCCACGGCTGAGTTTGTCCCATAACGTGGTGGCGATGCCCGCTACGGCGGTTGGCGACACGAGCACCGTGTCGGTGGTGCTGGCGAACCGTACGGACTCGCCCCAGGTGGGTGGGTGGGTGGGTGGGTGTGCGTGTGGGTGGGTGTTGGCTCTAGAGGGGGGTGGAGTAGGGGGTGAGGTGGGTGTTTTAATGAGCTGAGCCGCGTGAAAGGAAGAGTGCTTTTGTATGTATGTAATATGTTTGCGCACGTGTGCGTGTGTATTTATGTGTGTTTATGTACGGGTGTTTAGGGGGCCGGTTGCGGTCGGGGAGCTCTGTGTGTGGGGGGGTCGTCTGTCAGTGATTGGAGGGACGGGGGGAATGCAGTGGTGGAGGGTTATGGAGGGACTGAGGCGCAGGAAGAGGCCATGTACGTATGTATGTATGTATGTATGTATGTATGTATGTATGTATGTATGTATGTATGTATGTATGTATGTATGTATGTATGTATGTATGTATGTATGTATGTATGTATGTATGTATGTACGTATGACTTAGATTACACTGTGGGCTGCGAGAGCCGGGGGCCGAAGCCGAAACACAGCGCAAGGGTCGGGAGCACACAGCACAAGTCGGTTAGTCTTGTGTGCTCCCGACCCCGACTCAGACTGCCAACACTCTACGCAGCCACTCCGCAGCCCCCCCATCCGGGGGTGGCGCTGCATGTATGTATGAATGTAGCACGTTTGTGTAGTCCACTTTTGACGTAGGGTTGGGTTATATAAAAGATTTGGCGATCTTGCAGAAGACTTTTAGGCGTCTGATGAGGCTTGCCTTGCAGTTCCACCTCCACCACCTCCACCCCCACCTCTTCCCGCTCCCACCTCATGCTCTCAGTTAAACTGCCCCTCCCTACCCACCCCCACCC